CGTAGCATAACATCGCTTGATGTTATTTCTCCATAGATCCAGGCTAACTTACAACCTATAGTTAACTGTCTCCTGATAATTGCCGAAAGAAACAGTACTGCTTTGAGTGCCTCTCTATACGATATTTTGTGCGTTAGCTCTCTCAAAGCTTTCTCAAGTAATCTACTAGGTATTAAAACATCAGCAAAGCGAATTATGGCGCCATTACTCGATTTCCGCGTCTTGTCTTTCGATGTGTACGGCACCTTGATTGATTGGGAGGCCGGCATGGTCGCAGCTCTGCAGCCGCTGTTAGACAAGAACGGTGCCTCATTCTCGAAACCAGAGCTCCTCAAGGTCCTCCACGAGCTCGAGAAAGACCAACAGGTCAAGACACCAGACATGCGCTACGCTGATCTGCTCACAACCATTCACCCCAGGATTGCTGCGCAGCTGGGCCTCGCCGAACCGACCGCGGACGAGTCTCGGGAATTCGGGGATTCAGTCGGTCGCTGGCCCGCCTTCCCCGACACCGTCGACGCGCTGCACCGGCTGTCAAAGTACTACAAGCTCGTCGTGCTGTCAAACGTAGACCGGGAATCCTTCTCCCTCACCAACGCCGGGCCCCTTCAAGGCGTCCCCTTCGATCTCATCCTCACAGCGCAGGATATCGGCTCATACAAGCCGGACCCTAGGAACTTCGCGTACATGCTGGGCAAAGTCAAGGAAGAGTTTGGCGTGGAGAAGGAGCAGGTGTTGCAGACGGCGCAGAGTCAGTTCCACGACCACCACCCGGCGAAGGAGGCGGGGATTAAATCGTGTTGGATCATGAGGCCTGGGGCGTGTATAGGGAACCGCGAGCAAGAGGTCTTTGATTGGAGGTTTGATACGCTGGGTGCGATGGCGGATGCTGTCGAAGCTGAGTCTGCGTAGATTTTACGTAGGACTGCTTTTGGCTGGAGACTTGACGAAAGGAGGGTCTTAAGAAGAGGTCGTCTTGTTCGCTGTTTAGAAGGTCTTGAGGTCTTGAGGTCTTGTGCTCTTGTGCTCTTGTGGTATTGCGACTATGGCTGCTATATCTACGTGATTCTTTCAATAAGCACTCAAATTTCGAAATTTCGATCAATCTATCACATTGAAGAATGAATTCTGGCTTTTCAAGCAAGATTTCGAAATTCTTTTGAATCATGTACATTGTAAGTTTCACCAAGTGAGTTTTGGACATTCAATGTTAGTATATCAATGACTGTAGATTGGGAAAGTGCGGAGGTACTTGGGTTTATATGACATTTCATATGGTGAAGTATGTACCTTGCTGCTCTCTCATGTAAGCCACACGGCTCTCAGTCAAGCCACATAAAGCCCCGCTTTAAAATATCGCTTGTACTTAGCCCTGTGTGGTCCGAGCTCCAATTGCCCACAACCAGATCAATTTCCCGCAATTGATTAATTTTCTTCTCTTGTGAATTTTTGCGACTTCAATCTCGACAACCTTAACCCAACCATCTCCGCCACTCACTCTCCCGCGACTTTCACCCCTCGTTCCGACAACAAAGCCGCAATCATGAGTGCCGCATTGAACAAGATCGCGCCTAACAGCGCCTCTCGCCAGAACCCTTCTGAGCTTGAGACCAGCATCGCCGGTGCCCTCTACGACCTTGAGACCAACACCACCGACCTCAAGGCTCCCCTCCGACCCCTTCAGATCGTCTCCGCCCGAGAGGTATGAAATAACTGCACCCAAGTTGTATTCCGATTATACACCTAGAACCGCTTTACAACCTGGCCCTATTCCCCGATCGCGATCGTGCAATTCTTTGCTACAAACGACTCGTCTGCGTCTGCGGTTATCGCAAACCGTAGATGAGTTGGATACATATAGCATAGGAATAATAATAGCAATATCAATATCAGTGGAATAGGACGGGAAGCGGTCCAAGGAACACTTTATATGAAAATGAATGTGTCCTGGAGCTCGCCGGCTAACATTTGGGTCTTGATTAGATCGAAGTTGGCCACGGCAAGAAGGCAATTGTCATCTTTGTCCCCGTTCCTTCTCTACAGGGCTTCCACCGAGTCCAGCAGCGGTAAGTTATACACTGTCACCATCCCCACCAAGTCTCTACGAATAGTTACTGATATTGTATGATTCGAATAGACTCACCCGTGAGCTTGAGAAGAAGTTCTCTGACCGCCACGTCTTGATCCTGGCTTCGCGCCGCATCCTCCCCCGCCCCAAGCGATCCGCCCGCTCGCGCAACACCCTCAAGCAGAAGCGCCCCCGTTCGCGAACTCTGACCGCCGTCCACGACGCCATCCTCAGCGACCTCGTCTACCCCGTCGAGATCGTCGGCAAGCGTCTGCGTACCAAGGAGGACAACAGCAAGCTCCTCAAGGTCATCCTCGACGAGAAGGAGCGCGGCGGCGTCGACTACCGCCTCGACACCTACTCCGAGGTCTACCGCCGCTTGACGGGCCGAACCGTCACCTTCGAGTTCCCCCAGTCCGGCGCTGCCGAGTACTAGGGTTAAACGGTCTTTCGTCTGGACTGGTCTGGAACTAGGGGGGTTTTACATGGCTTTGGCAAACCGCATTTCGTGGAGTTACGACTACACACTACTGCATGGCGGCATTACGGAGGGCCAAAAAAGTTACTACTGGCACGGCGTCTAGATAGCTTGTGGAATAATTGACAAGCCGGTTTACTGTGATGACAATTACGAACTCATAATTGATTGCTTTTGATATCTTCATGTGCTCATGTTTTCTCGTGTATCTTCTACCTACTTCGTCGTGTCTGCATTTCGGGGTATCGTAGATTCTCTAATTTCTTTTTCTTTCTAATTACTCCTGACTGATCCGCCCAATGCCAATGGCGCACCAGTAGGCCAGTTCCCTCTTCTCCCTTGTATCCTTCTCCTTGCCCGCCGTGCTGCCCATACCCACCTGGTCCTGCGACACGTCGCCCTCCCACTCCAACCGCACGAACATGGGGATCTCCAGCACGTCCTCGTCCTCCTTCAACGGGCTCAGATCCAGCATCTCCGGATCGCTCTCCTTCCTCAGCAGAGACGGCTCCCCGACTTTCAGGGACGCGGGGACCACCTCGACGACGATGCTCACCCAGTTTCGCCCGCGCTCCCATATCTTGCCCGCCTCGGCCTGGTGCGTGCCGCCGCCTCCCTCGTCGCCGCGCCGCCGGCCCCCGCCGCGGTCCTTCTCGCCGTCTTTCAGCACGTCGTCCAGGTACATGTCCGTGTCCGTGTTCGCGTCGATGGTGAACTGCGGACACAGCACCGTCACCTTGGACGCGAAGCGCCCGGGCGTCATGGCGGGCGTGGCGAGCGTCACTTTGATCTCGTCGAAGATCGGGTTCTTGAAGGTGAGGAGGAATTGCGTCGGCTGCAGGGGCTTGAGGAGGCCGGAGGGGTGGGGGTGCGTGGAGGAGGAGGAGTGTGAGGATGGGGAGAGCGGCTTGATTGTTATCGAGGGGATGTTGTTGTTGGCTACGAGCCGGATCCGCCAGCGGGTGTTGGTTACTTTCGACTCTGGCTTGCTGATTATGTGACGGCAGACCGGGCATCGCTTGGAGCGCTTGGTGCGCAGGAGGTACGGGATTGGCCATAGGTCGGTGCCGAAGCGCGCGCCTTCTTCTACTTGCGCGCGCGTCTGCTCGTTGGTTACGGTGCCGGACCAGCCTTCGCGCCGCAGCTGCGAGAGCAGGGCGCTCTCGTCTAGGGATGCCGCGCGGAACCCCTCGTTCGCGGAGTCGGCTTCTCGCATCACGGCTGCCTTGGCTTTGGGCTTGAGGGCGCCGCTGCTGCCGGCGTTGCCGGAGTATAAGTTCATGATGCGCGAAAGCGCCCCCGGAGAGTTGAAGCCGAAGTCCGCCATGCCGGCCAGCGCGCCCCCGGTCCCGGACGAGTTGATGTTATTCTGTGACGCGTAAAAAGCCTTCAAGGCGGAGAAACGGGCCTTAGGCGTGTCGTCGACCTTTTGTGGGGGCGAGTCCGGAGGGGGGGTGGTGGTGATTACGGGGTGCTTGGTGTGATCTTCGCCGTGGCGGATTTTGGAAAGTTGAGAGAAGATACCCTGCGGCTTGTCGAATTTGACGCCGATTTCCGAGGAGTTCCAGTTGCAGTAGGAACATGCTAGGATCCAAGGGCCGGAAGGAGGAGCGGGACCTTGGCCTTCGGCGGTCAGGAGGGAGGGATCTGGGGCGGATTCGGTGGATTGGACGGCGAGAGGGCCGATGCATATCGGGCATTGGAAACAACTACGTGTGCATCTGTAGAAGTATTAGTATTATCCATATCTAGTCATACGTCCAGACATATAGTCACATACCTGTTCCCCTCGGTCTTCAGACTACTGCTTCCCACCTCGAATAGACAATTCGGACAGTAGATGGTAGCGAGCTCTTCCGAAACACAACGAGGACATCGGATCTGAGAGCACACATCGCAGTACAGCAAGTACTCGATGGGGTAGAGACTATAGTTAGAACGAGGCGCGCGAGGATCGAAGGTCTTATCATCGTCCTCTTCAGGCTCATCCTGGGAAGTCGGGGAGGGTGCTTCGTCTACCGGACGAGCCCGAATCGTGGAATCGTAGCAGGGACATTGGATATAGGTGTAGGGAGCGAAGGAAGCCATCGTGACTCCTCAGGGCGGCATGTTTTAGCCCCGCAAAACGAACCAAAACTGAGACAATCGGAGACTAAATAAGGGTCGGTGAGCAAAGTGTATGTGTATCAGTTTTAAAACTATCTCTAGAGTGACAAACAGATTCTTTCGAGCTTCATCCTTGTTCCAATCTAAACAATGATGCATATATCAGATATCCAGCTCCGAGGTCTTGATGCTTTTACTGATTTCCGAAGTACACCCGATATCTTACAGCTTTATCGATAAGCTTGTTGTTTGCATGCATGCACCTACCCCAAAGCGTTATAATCCGTCATTTTAGCGCAATCTTCCAACAACAGCAGCTTCTCTCATGGGAGCAGCAGCAAGTACCAGGGCACTTTGGCGGAGTGGTTAACGCGATGCCCTGCTATTAGTTCAGAATATTGAAAAATAGTGTAGGCATTCCCTTCGGGGGCGTGTGTTCGAATCACACAGGTGTCGTATTTTTTGGTTTTTGCTCCCTACATATTAATGTAGCAGTACAATATTTTTTTTGGTCACAAATTGAGTTTGAACTAATTGATTCATTCACACCGTCACTGCCTTCGATTCATTCATACAGTCGTTCTGGTAAGATCAGCAAGATCGACCACTAATAGATAACCCATGGATAAACAGTCATGTCTTTTCTTGCCTAGCTTGCGGCCATTTACAGCATAACAATAATCTCATGCATAACACACAACAAAATGCTGTCAAAGGTCAACCTCGTATTTCTCACGATTGATTTTTCTATTCTACGAATCAACATATCCTTCACTTTGGATCCATGATTCATCTTCATCTTATGATCCACAGAGAGACTAGACTACCTGATAAATACTTAAGCAAAGTTCTAATGAACAGCTAGGTTCATCGTCGGTCGTTTCGAAGGTTCAGAACAGACCAAATAGAACTCAACCCTTCAATCGATTGCCGAAGACCGCATACATGAGCGAAAGGTTATGATACTCTTGAGGTCATAGTCCCAGCCTCCACACCACCATACCACCAGGATGAGAGATGCAGGTGGTTTCGTTCGCCAATGTTTAACACCGTATTATCGGTGAGAGCAGAGACAGCCTCCAACTGTATCAATCAATATTAATCAATAATACCAATGCCAGCTATACTCCCTCGCAGATTGCCAGCAATGTTTCATCCCAAGTAGCGTTATCATTATCATTGTCACTGACGTTTAGTATAACCAAAGAAAGGTCATGAAACCGCCCTGTATTGCACCCGGCGACCTGGTACGGGTCGGTGGCTTGCGACGGCTTGTCAATGGATTACGCCTCCCATGGCAATAGCACGTTCTACGCAGCATCATGGTTTACGCTAACCCAGCATGCACCCGTTTTTAGGTTTTTAGGTCCCGAAATAAGCAAGATATACATAGTAGAAAAGGAGGTTGGATGACCCAGCATTGCTTGAATATCGCAAATATATACCCAAAACTGCTCATTAGCCTTTGCAAAGGTTGCGGTCTGCGAAATGCATAACATACTCATACAGACATACAGACGCTTCATTACGCTCGCCATTACGCTCGCTCCTCTTCGAGTGTTCGACGTCATGAAGAGATCCCGAGGTTGCTAGAAAGCAACCCAATCCTAGATCTATCAGGATTCCTGGAAGACTCTGGGTAATTTAAGGGCTTCGTTCTGGATGATTTATGTCAACCGTCGTGGATCGAGCAAACAAAGTACCCACCTAGGACCTAGGTACTAGGTAGATATCCATAGGATCTCTCACGATGGCCGATTCAAACAGCCTTTCTCGTCTCACCTCTATCCGTTCCATACGCCAAACCGATAAGCCGCTCACGAGGGAATTGTCCCTCTATAACGGCGTTTCAAATCGATCGAGAGGTTGGAAGACGAAGAAGTCCGACAAGCACACGGAAATACGACCATCTCGTAGGTGGAGTATCAAGAGATGGGACGGCGCCTCGATGTCTAGTAACGTTTGGGATCACTTGAATAGGGTACGCTGGCAGACTGCCTCTGATTTCCAATGCATCCCCAGTTCATTCGCATGATTAACTCATTTAGGATCCCGAGCTATGGTATCGGAATGGGACTTGCTATATTCATCTATATGCCCAAGGGCAAAGCCGTAGAGGTCCAGCTTTCAAAGTACCGTTCTCCGGACTCTTAGAAGCAAGATGCATACCGTTCATCGATAGGTTTATGGCTCAAAATGTCACCAAGTCAAGTGGCTGGGCCCAGACAGACCACGGCGAATTGGTTAGACGAAGTCGCATCGAACTCTTTATCCCTCCACCCCCTCGGTCGGACAAGCAGATGTCGTATGAATATCATCTAGCAACTCGCAATTTCATCGCCTTTATATTTCGCAGATCGGTGGTTGGAGAACATCTAGGTGCTGCTCTAGTTTCCCTCATGCATAGCTTGTTCGAGTTTCGATCCGGGTACGTGGATAACGTACGGGACTTGATGGATTACCTAGACGAGGAGGGCTATTTGAACTTCAAAAACAACGCAACTCACTCTCTGGCTATACTTCATTTAGCCGAGACTTTCCAGATGAAAGACCTTTATATCAGCGCTTTCGCACACTGTTGTGGTATGAGCGACCAATTACCCGCCTCCCCCGAATACCAGGTCCGTATCCCATGTTGCCCTATATATAGACAAGTTCGGACCGCTAATGTAAAATAGCTTATATCTTCTGGAACCCGAAAGCTCATTCGCTGCGCTCGAGTTGAGATGAATCTTAGGTTAGGCCAGAGCGCGAATATGATTGGGACATTCCTCGCGTATGAGTTGTCAGAAGCACACCTTGGCCTATATGCTGGTGCTAGAGCGCATCTCGAACGATTCCGAATTCTGCTGTACGATTTCTATAGCGCCAAGTTCGGGTCATACCCACCGCCATCTGTTGATTCTCGAACCACCATATTCGAGATAGATATACTGCAAGAGATGAGAGCTGATTTTGAAGCCCTTTACCAATATTTAGTCGACGAGACGTTCGACACTAGGCACGGGAGCCCATTCATAGCTGAAGGGGGTATATGTACGTGGCAGTGCATCCAAGCATTTGATAGGAGACATGAGTTCAAAACTTTACTTCACCCCCTTCCTCTTCTCCCGAAGGTATCATATGAAAACACCAAAAAGACGCCCTGGCTACCTGGTAAACCAATGAAGGCGGATCGGAAATGGCGAGAAAACACCCATGCTGCTCTGTTGAGAGCTACCAACGCAGAACCTAACATTATGAAAAACGGATTAGTGAGAATATATCGCCAATTCGAAGATGGCTTAACCTACTTGCCTACCAGGGCAGATAAGTTAGAAAACCTAGGACCTATGGACAGTCGGAAAGTTCGCTGGATCTTGATCTACGCAACTTACCAAGCCCTCCGACAAGCAACAGAGATCCCACCCGAAGTTTGTGACACCGCAGGCGCTCCATATCATCTCTGCATTTCTACAGCTGACCTACCCCCTTGGGACGAAGATAGACCCGTTCATAAACTTGTGCGAAGACAGACCCAACATCTCGCCCGGAACTCACCGCCAACCCAGGAACCCGACCCTATCACACGACTACCCTCCCCCCATGAGCAAATGTTCGAGATCAAACCGGATATCGACTACTTCGCACTGACGCACCGCCGTAATGATGAAACTAAAAACAGTTCCGCCTCCACATCCCTCTCGCGTCTCCGCCGCGCAAGTAGCTGGACGGGCAGCATAGCCAGCAGCCTCTCACGCAATCTCACCACGAGCCGGCCCACAGCCAAACTCACCAAGCCCCCACGCGACCGGACCCCCACCCCTAAGCCTACTCACAGTAACGGCAGTCAAAACAGCGCCAGCAGCGGCGGCGCAACGTACCACGAGATCATGGTCCAGGGATACGGCAACGGCACGAACGACACCAAGGCGTGTCTCGTGGATATCCCGGGTCCGCAGCGCAAGTCCACGATCGCGGAGGCGGAGGAGCCGCAGGATTTGCCGGAACCGCTATCCGCACACCCGGTGTCGGCGCCTACGTCCTCATCACGGTACTCGCATAATTCGGATTTGCGACAGTCGTCGTCGCAAGTCAGCGGGAGTGGGGGGACGGGCAGGACGCCGGATACGTCTGTGGATGGGAGCGCCGAGGGAGAGGCGTTGGAAACATCGACGGCGAAAGATCAGGGAACGGGTCCGGCGAGGTTAAGGAAGGTGAGACGCGCAGCGAGCACCGGTGCGGTCGCCCACGTCCCACCGCCAACATGCACCGGTCTCAGCTTCCGGCGTAAACACTCCCAGCGCTCACGCACGCCTGACTCGGGCTGCGGGCTAGGTCTGGCCTGGCGACGGGGCCTTAGCGTCAACAACACGCACTCCCGGACCCGCTTCCGTCGGCATTCCTACACCTCCTCCTACTACAACCCACCGCTCTCAGATCCCTCGACAAACCCAGACTTCAAACCCCTCCCCTCGATCCAGAAACTAGGCAGCATTTCGCCCTCCCTCGAGATGCCCGCCCCGCAGGCCCCGACGTCGTGGGACTACGTGAAGGCCGTCATGGAAGTGAAAGCTACGAGCTGGATGACAGCCGGAGATACGGACGCGGACGACGTGCACCCGGAGTGGGAGCAGTATAATGATTTGGGCGGGTTGACGGAGGTACATGGGAGCGGAAGTGGGAGCGGGAAGAAGACGGAAGGGAGGAAGTTGGTTAAGGCCCCGCCTGCGGGAAGGGTTTATTTTTGAATAGATAGGGGCAGGAAAGGGGGAAGGATAGATAGGGGAATAAGGGATGGATTTGTGAGATGAGCTTACGAGGGATGGATGGACAATGATACCCCCCGATGCAAGGGCTCGCTCTTTGTGTAAGGAGTCTGGGTTCGCAAGGACGATGGACACGTAGCATTTAACGTAATTAATGTATTTGTTATGTTAGGACAAGAATAGTTCAAACCAACAGTGCACCATCCATGCTCGGAAAATGATATATAACACAACAGGGCTCGTTCATGGGTATTAGATTTATTCGTTCAATCTTACAACCTTTTGCTTGGACTCGTATACACGTGATCACAACCAACCAAGGCCGTGACATGTCGTCATTCCCACTCGGGGCGCGTAATCAACTTACACGCTCGCCTGCTCTGGTTCACACATTGACTCCTTTCCCCGAAAAAAATCGCCATCGGTGGTTTTACTCGGACTTGATCGCCGGGGCAGCCGACGCATTCGTTAGTGCCTGTACGATCTCGCCGCCCATGACGTAGATCATGTACGTGGGGAAGATGAGCCACAGGCCGCTATATCACGGTTAGTCGATCCGACAACATCTACATGTAACATGTGAAAAGGGGGGTCACTTACTTGGGGATGATCCACAGAAGAATCAGGTCCTCGCGGCTGTTGTGGCCGATGTTGTCGAAACCCGAGAAGTACTCGTTAAGCCCTGTTATAAGCGCACCCGCGTTAGTC